TACTCACACAGGCGAAAAGCCTTTCTTCTGTGATCAGTGTGGGAAGAGTTTCCGCCAATCAGGAAGTATGAAACGCCATCAGCGTACTCACACAGGCGAAAAGCCTTTCTTCTGTGATCAGTGTGGGAAGAGTTTCCGCCAATCAGGAAGTATGAAACGCCATCTGCGTACTCACACAGGCGAAAAGCCTTTCTTCTGTGATCAGTGTGGGAAGAGTTTCCGCCAATCAGGAAGTATGAAACACCATCTGCGTACTCACACAGGCGAAAAGCCTTTCTTCTGTGATCAGTGTGGGAAGAGTTTCAGCCATTCAGGATATATGAAATTCCATCTGCGTACTCACACAGGCGAAAAACCATTCATCTGTGATCAGTGTGGGAAGAGTTTCAGCCATTCAGGAAATATGAAACGTCATCTGCGTACTCACACAGGCGAAAAACCGTTCCTTTGTGATCAGTGTGGAAAGAGTTTCAGCCAGTTAGGAAGTATGAACAGTCATCTGCGTACTCACACAGGCGAAAAACCATTCATCTGTGATCAGTGTGGAAGGAGTTTCCACCATTCAAGAAGTATGAAACGCCATCTGCGTACTCACACAGGTGAAAAAGGTTTTGTCAGCCATCATTGTGGGAAACCTAAATCGGGAAATTTGGAAGATCATCTGTACTCAAAACCAAGTACATCCCAAGCGCTGCAAGAAGCATTGAAAGGACTTCCGGGAACCAGGATATCTGCAACTTCATCAGTAAATTCAGAAAAGTGAAGAAACCCCATCGCAGAAGCTTCTGTTCCTGTGTGGCTTTCATGGCCCAAGCAAAAAATACTTCATAAAATGATGTGCATGCAAATTAAGATGGGTGTTTTTCCACAACTTGTAACAGTGTTTGAAATGTATCAAATGAAAAGAAATTTTAAAAAGCATGAGGTAATTAGTATTTATAGCATTTCATCCGGCCCAAGCTCTATAGTCCCTCACAGTCAGACATTCACCAATTCATAAAAATATTCACATACTATTATATATCAAGGTTTGATTTAGATTTTGTTTAATATTTTTGCATTAATTAAAAACTGGGCTGCATGCTTACACAGTTTGTAGCCTTGTAGGAAGAAGGTCCTGGGTTTGATTCCTATGTAGTCAGAAAGGGGTCAAAATGTTTGTAAACTTATAAATCACCTTGAAACTGAAAGAAATTAAAAGTTGAAACAGAAAAAAAACATAAGTTTATATTGAATGTCAAATTTACTTATAATCTGAGAAACAAACATAAAATAATACGAAATGAACATTGAATCTTGCCCTCA